CAATGGAAAACTGAGCGTTGCGAAATGCCGAAATCGTAGCAACTTATGTAGAATGGTCTCCACAATGCCAAAGTTATAATCAATGCTGCAAACTTCACTTCTTCCAATTTTACAATGACAGTTTTTCAGAACCGTTCCGTATGCTCCAATATTTCTTTAAGTAGGCCAGAATGCTTAATCGGAAAGCGAACTTAAGACTAAGGATGAATTAGGGGTAATTGTCGCTTAGCCACAAAATGAGGTTAGCAAGTGATATACTGCTTTGACTTCGGCACTTCGATGGCAGGGAGTGCATCCAACAACCTCCGGTGACGAACAAAGTGTTCTATCAGCATGGGCGTCATCCACTTAAACCACAGATCTCAACTGCATCCACAGAGGACTTCAAATACAGCACACTCTGGTGATGGAATGTTTAACCACTCAACAATAGGATATTTCAGTGGTGTCACAGTCTCAAAGGCACCCATACCTCTTCACGTTAGTGATGATTTCGACGTAGTGGTTTCCAGCATGTCGGGATCGTCATATGCATCACCTTCGCCACCGTCACAACACAGCCGATGTGTGGAATTGCTTTCTGCCACCTGGGTGTTTGATCAACGTGTATTTCGCCATAATGAAACCGCACAAGAGTTCAGTCTTCTTGTGGCAACATTGAACACAACATGTTCATTCACCGACACGAAGATTTCCAACGTCAAAAGGTGAAAGAGCCCTTCACATGCTGATCAGTCGCATTTTGAGGCTGAGACATGGATATGAAAGTAGGATAAAACGACGAAAAAATTTGGTTCCTCCTTGCCCTGATGACTAAGGCGACTCATCGCCATGCTAGCCTCAAGACGTTAACGATGGATCACCGAAACAAGACCACTGTGACTCAACTGGCGAACCTTGAACGCATTACACCGACACAACATTACATGCCCCAACACTCCGTGACCGGACACACCCCGACTTTTCACCACCTCGCCCAATTTGTGCAATCATGATTCAAAGGACTTGTTAGGAGTGAAGAAGATACACCGCCTCGCCCGTCCAACCACTACTCTAGGTGGTCTAATAGCACAACCTTCCAAGTTCCCCATTGCAATTCCACGTGTTATACTCTCCCGGAACCACTAGCCCCAAATGTTGACTGATATAATAACACCACCGCCCCAGCAGGACAAGCATTAATTCCCCAATTTTACATAATTTTGTTTCCAATTGCCCATCCCTGAATTAGAGACAAGCCTTAAATCCTGAATGAGAAGACTACACATTATCAAAATCATGTTTCAAATGTACATTTCCGTATGCAAAAATCCTCCTTCAAGCAGTAATGCGCTTTATCCTCCGCTTAGTAAACGTAGATTCGTCGTGCATTTTTCTGCAACAAAGAAAATTAATAGTGACAAAAGAAAAAAAAATGATGACCATCTTGAAGGTCTCCCCTCCCCTTCCCCCAGTAAATGCACAAAAGCAAATCCAAAAACCGATGGTTATGGGCCGACCTGAAGGTTGTATCAAGGAGTCGGAGCATGGAAAGACATGGCGATGCCTCCTTTGTCTCCTCGAATGCCGCTATCATCTGCGAAATGATAGTGAAGAAGTAGCACAGGGATGGGGAATGGCTAAAAGAAACAAACAATTCGAAATATTTGTACATAAAAGAAACTCAAGAAGGGAAGGGAAAGGAGGGCACTTACGTAGTCGAGAGAGCATGTCGAAATAACCACAACGGAAAAGCATGAAAGCGCGTCAAAGCGTGACATGCTCGTGGGATCCTTGTGGTGGCGGTCAGGAGACGAAGAATTTGAATCTAGAGGTGGGGAAAGAAAGGGTAATCACGACTTATGGAATGCTAAACTTCCTCTAATTACATATTCATTTTGATCAGTATTAGCTCAACCATAATGTTTGCCACACGATTTGGTGCGACCAGCAATCATGAATAGGTAAGGATCACATGTCGCAAAAGCGAACACTTCCAAGTAATGCTACTGAAATGAATTCAGCAACATGACGTCAAAAAATACGATTTAGGGGCAAAGTAAATGGAAATTGAGCCATCGACGAATGAGTGGGAAATTGTACTATAATTACGAATTAAACACACAAATGGGAGAATAAATGAATGTGTTAAATTTCCGCATAGGCATGACAACTTATGGCAATCATACCTTGAAAGACTTACCCGATCAAATGACAGAAAAGCCTGCTTTTCAAATCACAAAGGTAAATATGAGCTCAACTGGCCAAAAGCTGATTACGCATAGGAGAAGTGAGGATAGATAGCGACATCAACTTCAGATTGACACATTAGCTATTGGTGTCACGTATGTGTGACGTCCAAGTTTTTTTATTTAATGCGGGTTTCCTATCAACTTATGACAGTTCGTCAGAGTGAAACGTTGAAGATGTGCTTGACATGAGGGTAATTGCATTTTGGAACGACAGTGTCAACATAACAAATCCTGTCTACGCATGCTTTAACAAGGCAATTGTGCATTCAAATTACAAATAAGCAAGTGGCTTCCAACCTGAGTGGTGGTATCGACGCCAGGATCAGCATATAACAGAAGGCAGTACTTGTAGACTCGAGATTTCTCCAACAACAGGTAGTCTGAGGTATCATTGAGACTGTCAGCACAAAGTTTCACCATCCACTGCCGTTCAACACGAAACTGCAGAGACAAAGGGAAGAAGGTGGCAGTAGCTAGCAGCCGCATTAATGATGTAAAATAATGGATGGCCTGCTACCCCAAATTTGCATGGTTGATTGAGACGTACGAAGGTGACAGTGCCTAATTTATTTGGACGAAAAAAGCTGTCCTATGGTGGATGACTTTGTTCTTGAAATTTATCTACGTGCTGCATAAGTGATCCGACGGGAAAATCAAAGTTAGTGGTGGTAGAATCTACTATTATTGCAATTTCGTGGTAATTCTACAAAAGTAGTGATGAAAAGGTAAAAGTGTTAGTGTTACATCGTCCAGAGAGCTTGACAGGGTGGATGGACACGGGACAGATGGATGTATGCGCACAGAACTTGAATACGAAAACAATTTTCCATTTAGGAAAACACAAAGGCGATGAGGAATACAGCTACAATGAATTGGTTCACTTACATCTTTGTGAACCGAGTACATGATTCGTATGAAATCGGGAACTGTGCCCAAATCAATGGCCGGTTTTGCCATGTAAGTGTTCCAGAACACCTCGTACATCCTATGTTCTGAACACAGAAAAAAGGATGCAGAGAAATCGGATCGCACCAAACCAGACAAAAAAAAGTTAAGCAAAACAAGCTGAAGGAGATTTGGTAGATTTAGTTTGGACGAAATCTACAGACATACCGGTACCCCCCTCCTTTTTTAATGCAAACCAGTCAAAATTTGATGAGTTCGAGGTTGTAAACCCACGGCATTTGGGTCATTTGAAAACAATAAAAAAAGGATTATTTGAGGTGAGCTCACACTTTTTCCTCAACATCGAACCGTTTTAGAATAGAAAAGCAGAAAGAAATGGGGAAGAGGTAATCCTACAACAGTTCACCAAATATAAACCGAAATAATTCGTTTAAAAGCATGAAAGGCATAAGAGTGAGACAATTAAAGATGGACGCACCAGGTTTCGTGAGCATCCCCAGAGAGTGGATGAAGAAGTTAGCATGGACTCGAGACAGCCGAAAGGAGGTGTCCGCTCGTGAGCCAAAGAGCACCGCACGCCGTGGCCCTCCACCCAACTCACCCGCCTTGGTGCTCAAACTATTCCGCAGGGTGTCCAGCATGAAATTCAGCTACCCAAAGTGAAGAAAATTGATAATTTTTGCAACTTTTCGACCAAGAGATGGCAGACTACTAGCTTGGGGTGTCCATGCTGAGATTCCACCAGTTTACATCTTACTCAAGGCTCGCATATTTCGTAGCTCACAGGCTGCACTGGTGATGGAAATCTTAACTTCGTTGACTGGATACTGCAGACTGGTAGAAGAAAGTAGCCATTGAAACCGTGTGGAATTATGGCAAGAGTAGAATGAATAGAAGCTATTTCGTTTAGAGTATTGAAATGAGAACAAGGGTGTGGCTTTTAGGTAAATGTCCTCAATTGAAGCGGTTGGTATACGATCTAGGCCTAAGTGAATACCACGATGCAATTCGACTGACAAAGGTCTTAATTCATCAATACATACTACAACAGTGTACCAAAAACTATCAACGCCTGAAACAGAAGAGTGACTACGGAGATAACAGTCAAGTAGGGGGGGGGGGGGGGTAAGGAACGTAGCAACATAATATTTGCCTAAAATAAGGGAGTTTATCCAATTTTCCCCCTTTCAGATAGTCTTCCAACCCTTCCACAAATTTATGGCAAATACGCTCTTGGGTCTGTAACCTTCAACGCCTTAGGGAATATTTTAGACAATAAGAAACTCTGCAGCTGCGGTTGCTCTGTACCATCGTCAACTTACCTGAACACGTTCTGGAAACTGTTTCATGACAGCGACAGACATTGGGATTGAGGGGGTTTTGGTGGGTTTCCAGGCCTCTGAGAGGAGTCGAAATTGCGCAATAACGGACTTTGCAAGTCCACGAATGTTTCGTGAGTAGCTGGAGAGGGCACCGACCACAAAGGCGAGGCAGTTGCGAGTGTAAAAGCCGCGTATATCCACGCGACTGGGTTGCAGTTCTTCCTGTGCCTCATCTACAGACGGGAGGTGAGGCCGAAATAAATTGAGTATTAAAAATCCCACTTGATTAGACACTCACTTAGCTACACATTGTCAGTCGACCAAAAGGAGAGGCAGGTGTAAGCATTAACAGATGAAAATAAGGTCCACAAGTGCCGTAGATTTCCCCACCTCTTTCACCTTTTAAAAGCACACCGTTTTGTGCTGCTTTTGGTTGGCTGACTGACTAGTAAAGAGAAGCTGCCTTTGTATCACAGGGTGTACCCGGAAGATCCGCATACCACCCCTCTAAACACTTCTAAGTCGTCCACTACTTCATACCCCCCAAAAGCTATGCCTACTTTGTAGGTGGGCTAGGTTATAGACGCAATTCCTCAAGGTCAAACAGATTTGTCTGGGGTCTGACTACTCGACATCGCACAACTCCATCCTGTCAACAAAAACTTAGCCCTTAGAAACAGGTATGATCAGTTAATCAGTGGGAAGATGGTCCCGCCCCGACAAAACCAAGCAGGACCTCGCTAATACCGCAAAATCTAACTGCTGAAAGATTTGCGCTTGATGATGAGAGGAGAGAGGTAAGCCCTCGCTTTTCCTAAGCTATTGTCACCTTTCCTCGACATCGCTTAATCACATGAGCCTGTACGAAATAGAACAGAGAGTTAGAAAGTGGAATGGAAAAGGAAGTCATGCAGGGCGGAAGCTTGCTCCTAGGTACTGTCAATTACAAATCCAATCCCTCAGCATCTCATTCATCCATTCACTCACTAGATCGCCGACTCGTTCATTTGCCCACTTAGTCATTCATCCAATCAAACAAATCAAAATGAAACTCACCAGAAGAGAGGTATTGAAGAAACAGCGGGAGAAGGAAGCATGGATCATAGTGATTGTGATCCAGATTTACACCTTCCACATTCATGGATCGAGCCTATGGAAAACACAGGGCGACTCAAAGACGGCATTGAAACAGAATGACACATTTTAGATAAAACTCATCTAAGCCAACTCTTCCCTGCAATAGCAAAGCTTACCAAACACCGACGAGTAACAGGAAATGAGAGGGCACTACTCAACAGCTTATCCTTGTCCAGGACATTAAGGAAAGCGCCTGGATTCAACTCACGCCATAATTGTGGTGCCTCACCCAGTGTCTCACCGAATCGATAGTGATCGGCGAGACGATCACCCCAAATTACACTCTGGGTCGACATTCCCCTAGCAAAAAACGGCCTTAGATCCATTTAACTGATCTACCAAATGCTTGATATTGAGTATCCACCGAGGTCAAGTATGTAGATTAGCTGCAACAAGAATCGGTCTAAAAACGAGATGAAGAGGTCTACGTGGGGGTTCTACTTACCGCAAACTGATAAACTGCTACGATAAGCAGCTAAAATGGAGAGTAGAGGAATTTCCGCCGCCGTGGTCTTTGGATCAACCTCAGCAAGAGCAAGAAGTAGATTGACCAGCGCGGCTACAATTGAGTCAAATAACAATGAAGGCAGATAATTTTCTAGCCTACTTTTAAGTGGAGTCAGTGGAACTGTGGCAAACTCCTCATTTAACGGCTTCTCAAGGAGAATCAATTTAAACACACGATTGGTGGAAATGAGCTTGAGGAGGTGTTTAGGACATGGGGAGATCTTTTCGCTGACACATTCATTTTTTTCACCCTCCACCCAACCGCTCTTGGAAGTGCTTCGCGAGAGCAAACGAACAGCCGCTGCCATACAATTTAAGACAACGGCGTGGTGCCAGTAGGTCCTGGAGGAAGGTTGCCATAAAAAAAAACAGTAGCATTACTTACTTGAGACAAGTGGGGGCCAACTGAGGCCAAATCTTGAGTAACTTCACAAGCTCTCTTTCTGTCACCTCTGTTTCGGGATTCTGAGACAGCTTGTGCAACATCAAAAGTCTTGACTGAAACTCTAAAAATAACGACGACTTTTAGAGATTGAAAATAAAAGCCTACTTTTCGATAGAGTAGCTATTACGGCCTCCGGACTTGACACTTTTTTGGAATCTACGAAGAATGAAGTGGAAATTAGTGATCGCAAACCTTCAGATTCTTCATCTTTTCCCTCTACTTCTTCTTCTTCTTCTTGCTCCTCAGTAGGTGGAAGGATTTGGTCCTTCAGAAGTGACACATCAGTGTGCTCTTTTTGTAGGGTTTTGGAAAACCTCTGCAGCCATTTATCGACGAGGACACGTTCCAAAAGGATCTTGGAAATGGATTGGATAATGGGTTTGGGTGTAGCACCCTTAGTTTTCAGTTCCTCGGTTGTGTGAAGCCAAGTCAGAAAGAGAACCAGATTCTGTCTAAGGGTCCTGTAGATAGTATTTGCTGCCTTAGTAACCGATTTACTTTCATGCTGATGGAAAGAGAATGACAATGCACTATAAAAAGCCAATCATTTGGAAGTAGAGAGGAGAGGACTGTGAATGCAAACCTGAAAAGCAGAATGCAGAACTTCAGCGATACCCAACGGAGGTAGGCAGATATCGGAGACGCCTTGAACAAACTGAGCCATGTCTTGAGACAATTCCAGCAGTTGGGAGACACGATTAACCAGGTGATTTTGAAACATGAAAAAAAGCTAAAATGTAGAAAAATCAACTGCGACAACTGAAGCACGAAATCTGATCATTCCCTACAGGCACCAAACTTTCCCACCCAGAAGCTTCTCCCTGTTAAAGTTGTTTTTTTTTTTTATCTTGACAATGCGTTTGCAGATGAAACCGATCCAAATTTATTTTTTTAAATATAGTCCTGACACAAAAACGACCCTTCTGGTATGATGAAGTAAACCTTGGATTAGCATTAAATGAAAAAAGTAAATGAGGGAACATGATGAAGTCGTCAAAAATCCGTTGTTATGAGGACGAAAATTGAGCATTGATGGGCAAAAGCAAAGCACCAAAACTGTGACTCAGAAGAACAATCTGGGACTTTGCAAGCATAAATTTTCACTTTATTAGATAGGATGCGATTTAAAAGCAGTTCAGGTTTTAAAAAGGCACATTGCTTAGAAAATATTTCCACCTTTTTGCATATTCACACCCTTTTTAACTGTTCACTAAGCAAACAAATTATTTTTTTTCCGAAACTATCTATTTAGCACACTCTTAGGGCACACATCACTTCACCTCCAGAAGACTGTGGCTGTTGTGTGTATGGAGTGGACAGCAGATGACGCAATTGCCCAAAAAACAAAACAATCACGGATGACATCCAACCGCTCGCACGTGGGCAAGAAAACTTCTCCAGAAACAACAACCGGGACTAACGCATGGCCTCACGACGCAATGTAAGGCATAATACTGCCAGAGAATTTATTTGCAAGATGTACACTCTAGAAATGAAAAGGGAGGGAGAAATCTTCACCCTCACCCTCATCCCTTCTATTCGCCTAAAATCTCTCCGAGTAGCTGTCAACATTTCTTGATATTACAGAGCAACATAAACACAGTCAGTATGTCGGTTTTTCCATATTTATTTGAGGGATTTTTAATTTTACTAGGACTTCCGAAGCAGCCCGGATATTGATCGAAACCACGAGACTACCGATTTCGGCGAACCTACTTACAGCAAATGATATCACTCCAACAACAGACGATGATCATTTTGCAAATTCATTAAAGTATGGAAACCCACCTGATTAACAAATGCCATGAGATTGTGCCAATTTTCCGAATCGCGCGGTACCATGGAGGCCGTCCAATGAGTCAAATACGCGGGCAAAAGAGCTGGGCAGGCGAGCAGACAATTGGCAACCAGCTCCCGTCTCATCTCATCCGTGAATGCACTGTCCATTGGGGGCGAGAAGAGAAACGAGAGCAGGTGCTCGTTCTGCTTTCTGAAATAGCAAAAAAGAAGTTTAATTGGAGGGGATTGGTGGCCGTAAACACTTTGTTTGCTCAAAAACTAACCCGCCTTCAAGGTAGGCGCGCTCACGAAATACAAGACCAATGAGAGGAGAAGATGTGAGAGGGAGAAGGAGCCTGTGAAGTGCTTGTCGGACAAGTTCCACAGAGTGAGCATCCACCTCGGCGTCAGAACGAGATAAGGCCACTTTCTTTGACAGGGCCTCACCCCGATATGCATAGAGATAGGCTAGCTGTTTTAGTGCTGCCCTTGTAAATATCCGCATTTTTATGGTTTTACTCACTGTCGCATTCTCACAAATGCTTGTGCGAAGTAGAGTTAGGATTAACAACACGTTTTGTGGTTTGTCTGTGAAGCACTCCGATATCAGCAGTGCAATCGAATCTATGATAAAAGAAGCTAGTTTGAAGAAAAGCAGCAGACCAGGTAGCGCCAAAGTAATCGGTCAGTCCCTCAAATTCAAGAAAAGCTAAGGAAAAACGCTTCGGAACACTGGTTATTAGACGTACTCTTGGATTCCAGCAGTTCACGAATGAGAAGATTGTTATTGGAAACAAGGAAGGAGGCGATAAAGTTGATAAAACAGGTACGAACATCAGTGGGATCTTTGATGTTACGTCTACGTGAAACCTGCACCCAATCAGGATGTTCGAAATCGACACTGCGAACGAGACCACGACCCAGGAAAACGGGATCTGTTGAGACCACAGCTGCGAGCAGTTGAAGCGAAGCCTTGGCAGCTTCTGCACTGCTCTGAGGTTTGAGAGCGCGCAAGCATGCTGCTAGTGGAGCATCTTCTAGCACACCCTCAGCTAATCGTCGTCCAGTGTCTGCAAACAGATCGGTGAGGTCCGTCCGGGCTCGGACGATGATCGTGGCCAGGACTTTGAGAATCACTGCCAACTAGTTGAAAAAGGAGTGTATAATCTATCGGAATTGCAAACGCAGACACTCACCTCGTTTGACTTTCGTTCATAGCCCGTTTCTAGCAGTAACAGTAGCTCCTCACCACTTGACTCAGATAAGTATTCTTTGATGATGTCTTCTTCCTCCGCCTCTATCTTTTTGAGGAAAAACGCCAAACCTAGGGGAGGGGAAGTTAAGGAAATACCCACTACTTACTGGTTGGATCAGATGTTAACTCAGAAAATCGGGACGTTTTACGCCGTTTTGGGGGGACATCAAACTCAACTGAAGGAATTTTGTAATTCTTCACCATTATCTGAGTAAAACCAGATAAATTGAGTGACAAAGATATGCGAAGAAGCGTGGTATCCAACCGAAGAACAGCCCGAGCATATTTTAACAAGTATAATGAACAAAACTATGAAAGGGATCTTTTCGTGTAGACTCTGCATTTGAATGTAGTCCAGTCGGTCAATGTGAGCAACTAGGGATTTCCATGGTAAATTTGGTAAAAACAGTGCCAATTTATACAACCCAAGCATAAGGTATCACCCTGACTTCATTATAGCAAAGCATGCAAGCCCCTACCATGTGTCGAGCAGCGCAACCCAGACAATCACCATACTCTAATAACCAATTAAAGGACACAACTAACTAGGTCGTGTTCTCCAAGGTCTGTCAAGGGGTAGAAATCATTCGACGCAAATGTCCTGGCAGAATCAAGTGCCATAGTAAAATTGTAAAGATTCGATAATCGATTTATGCCTAAAGGCAAAAATTTTAATTTTACAAAAACTTGCTGATTTGTGAGAAATGTAACACCCAAATGTTTACTGGTAAATTATTATTTAAGGAGTTTGAGCTATTGGTCGGAACAATTTTGTAAGCATCTTTAAAGCATAGAAGTCCTTGGTCAATCTGCTTAATTTTGCGTTTGATTACACAGACACTTACGCCTCCGCCGATTTTTCTTTGGCTAGGGGAAATAGGACCCGGCCTATACCAGTAGTCGCTGCACTTCTCTAAGGCATTACTGCATATTCTGCCGTACTGCTTTGCCTTTCGACCACTTTAAGGAAGACCTGGGTCCTGACTGGAAGTCCTCAGGAGTGCCTTGGAGAAGGACAAATGCCACCGGATTTTGCACTGAAAAATACATAAGTTTATTACACTAGTGTTCTAATGGCTTAAAGAAATAGCTCATAAATCTAACAAAATACAAGATATAACTTTCGTTGACTCTCTGTTAGTGAATCAAATGGCAGAGTTGAACTAGATAGACTTTATTTTAGCACCGAAATGTTTATTTTTGTTATTTGACCAAATCGCATAAAGCCGTATAAGTCAACATCTCACATCTACCTGACAGCTCGAGTCGTGTGTAAGGATTCGACACTTCCTACAACCTCTCTAGTGCGTAAATAGAAGTGATATAAATAAAAGCTGGTGAATGTTTTTACATTTTTCCTACGACAATAGATGCAAAAATAAGTTTAATACTGTGACCTTTTAATTAGCAGTCAAAAGCAGTCGGTAGACACTCTCAGGTTTACGCACGCTAAGAAGCTTTAACAATTTGCAAGATCCAGATTGCAGTCAATGAAACTTAACAATTTTCATGTTACTGGAGTTTGTGCTAAAACTTGTGGGTGCTGGATGTAATGCGTTGTCTGCTAAGCCCTCGGTTCCGGCAAGGGTCTGCCATGTGCCATGGTCATTGCACCCTCACCGAGTAAGCTGGGTTCTCGTGTATGCTAATTACCCCAGCCCCTTCTCAATGTTAAATATATACATTCTAATCGAGTGGCATGTCTTCTTTTGCTATTAAAAAGTCTAGAATGACTATACTGAACATTTATTCGTTCTTATTTTGGTTAAAGGAATTATAATAACAAACTTTAGGACTGGAAGTTTTTATCTCAGGGAAATATCGGGGTTAGAGTAACAAAAAAAGCAACTCTAATGATCACTTTTTTAAATTTAAAAAATTTTTTGCCTTTAGAGCTTATCTAACGCAATGTTCTCCAAAATGCTATGTATGAATTTTGTTATTGGCTTTAAATGTTTACATTAACCCGTTGTTTTTGAAAAAAACTTTTGAATCTAGACAATGCGAATTTTGTGCTCTAATTTTTATACCTTTTGTATAAACATTTTAAAGCTGTTCACTTCCATTTAAATATGCTTTAAAATAGCACACACCCCAATGTTTTCCTTTCTGCGCTTTCAAGGTCGTCTCCTTCTTAATAAGCCTTGTAGCTTCGTTTTCCCGCAATTCTACAAGATGGTGGGTTTCCACACAGGTTCATTGTTTTGTGACAAAATTTTTAACCATACGCGAAATATGCCTATTTACTTGCTGCGTAAGAATCATGCTTTCATTTTTAACGCTACCACTTGCATTGCCATGTGATTGCAATTTTGTCTGCATATTTTACTAGGCTTCGAACGAAGCTGAATTCTACACATTCGATGCGCTGGATATCGATGGGAACAACGTTTCCATGGGGAAATACAGGTTTGTTTATCATACTTGCTCTTTCTACAGTCATCCCCGTTTTGCCTTTCAGGGGGAATGTGGTCATTGTCGTTAACGTTGCCACTCTATGAGGCTTGACTAAGAAAAACTATGCCCAGCTGCAAGATCTGTATACCAAATATAGCAGCCAGGGCCTTAGGATTCTCGCCTTTCCCTGTAACCAATTCCGCAATCAGGTGTGTTAGTACTTTCCGAATGTTGAAATCCTGTCAAATTGTTTACTATAAGCAAATTGTGCTTCTAGGAACCGGGAACCAACGCTGAAATCAAGGAAGCCGCGCGAAACAAATTTGGACTCACATTCGACTTCTTCAGCAAGGTTGATGTCAATGGTCCCGATGCCTTGCCCCTTTTTATTTACCTCCAAAAGACTCTTAAGGGGACGCTCACCAAGTAAACTGCGACCTTTCTTTAATCCGTTTACTACCAGCGTTGCATAATTGTGGTGCATCTAGCATCACTAGCATGCAGCTTGTTTCCTACCACTTCATGATAAATAGCCGCACAGAGTCTTGCCTCATCATGTTATGAGAAGGTTTCCAAAAATCAGTGACAGTCATTGCTGTACCAGAAGAGTGAAGCATTTAGATTAGGGTGGTGGATTTTCCCTTAAAAGTGGTGTAGCTAGCGCATAAATTGGATTATCATGTCAGCCTCCACTGTAATTTGACGTAGTTACAAATCTTACCTTGGGGTTTGTTTAATTTCTTACTAGGTCATTTGCAATCACGCGCATTTTGTTTCTGAAATGAACTTTGTGTTTCTTTACCTTTGCAGTAGTATAAAATGGAACTTCACGAAGTTCCTCATCGATAGAAATGGCATCCCCTACAAGCGCTACTCCCCGACTACTGATCCTGAGGTAATTGAATGCGTTTTTGTTTAATTGCTTTTTGTTGACTAAGTACATTGATGTTGTGGATTTTATTATCTTACAACATCAATCATTTCCACTTTCCCACCAACCACCTAAAAGTGATCCTTCACGTTATTCTAAATGCCGTCTAGTTCCCATCCACCTAGTTTTCTTTTCCTCCTAAACTGCGAAGATACTAAGTTCAATTTGGAATAAACAACTGTTCCCGCTTTGTTTATGCTTGTAAACAACGTAAACGCCTAAACATTGAATCGCATGTCTATTGTTAAGCTTATTCTGAAGATATTCATGATGAAGTCCTGTTTATTCCCAACATTTCGCTAAAAGTCGTTTGGTTGCTTTCACTACATCAGATAATTAATGTGCAGATTATTTTCCAAACATCAAGCTGCTTTACCAGCTGGGTTCTTTAGTATCATCCACTATTCTTCCATCTGGATTCTCGCCTGTTTAAGATTAAAATCACCAAGAGAAATCTTCTCTTGGAATGCAATCCAATTGGCCAACGGGTCGTCTGTGGGTATTCCGAGTTTTAGCGAATTGCTCCATCGGATGGTTACCTGCAGTAACCCAAAAATAAGGGTATTTTCGAGTCGGAAACTGCAGGTTTAAAAAATCGTAATTTCCTGCTTAAGTTATTTACCACCAGAGCATTAGAGGGTAGTTGGTCACATGGCAGGCGGTTCCTTGTTCTGATATGGCGCAAACTGTTTTCACACTTGGTCAGTCGGATTGGCTGGCAAGGAGTAAATAATGTAAACGTCTTACACCTGCTTTCTTATTTCAAACCCATCCAATCCCTTTGAGACAGAGTTTGATGACTCCAGTAAAGAGGCGTTAAATACCTGAATTAGTTGGTTGGTTAGCATAGCTGAGTTCTCACTCACTTCTCTTTCTTCTGAAGGATATGACGAAGGACATCGAGAAGCTGTTGTCCGCCTCCTAGATGTCTACAAAGGCGGTCAGTCCTCCTCGAAATCTTCATTCCCCCAAAACAAGTGGTGATGTGTGTGCATCCGTGTCTCCTATGACAAAGTTGATGGAAAGCCTGTTGGCCACATTGACTTTCGATGTTCTCTGCAAACTGGTATACTTTGTGGAGATGACACCGCCCACATTTCCTCTTACCTATTTCTCTTTCCTTCTCTTGTTGGAGGACTGACGTTTTCTTTATACGTCCATTTCATGTTCTCTTCCCTCTTTTGTTACGTACATTATTATCTTGTCTATTGAGTAATAAATTGGCCATTTTTCCCGGTTAACAGCAAGTCTTTTTTAAAATTATGCTACGAAATTGCTGAATTGTAGGGTATGTTCTTTTTATGCCTTAGGAGAATGGTCTGTACTTTTTTCTGCGATGATTAATAGGGAGAAGTTAGGTGACAAATTCTGTCCCGACGCTAACTGTTTCAAGTTGTTTCAAACTTGCGTAAAATCGGAAAGTCCTGACGAGGACTTTCGTGTCTGATGTTGAGTGACTACTGCGCCACATTTGTGCGGTGGTTTTCCATCGCGGTGATTCCACCGGTGTAACTCCCTGGGCGCGTTTTGCTTGTCAGTGGCTCCAAGAAGTGACACTTATCTCGTTAAGTTTCTCAGAATTTGACCTTTGTTGCATTTGGCATTGCTTACTATTCACCATGTTCGCATTGTCCGAGCACCTCTCTGGAAAATTCCAGCGTAAGAAGGCACGTGATCTTCACATTTCAACTGAACCCACACTTTCAGCCTTTTTAATGAGTGATTGTGGCCCACATAATCTAAGCTTGGCTTCGCTAATAGCTGTGCTACAGTACTCGGGACTCCGATGGATACTGGCTAGCTGAAGTACTTGCTTTGATACTTCTGTCACGTAGGTTTAGCCACTTCTATAGCGGCTACTTGATCCATTCACAAGCATGCCTTCTTTGACGCGTCAGTAGAATCAGTCACATTCTTCACGTCCATCGCAACGTTACCATCAAAGTCTAACGTGAAACCGACTTCTTGGCACCTCCTCAGGTTCATTTGAAATTGTCAACATCTCAACCTCATTGCAGATTTCACAGAACTTGATGTGGAGGAGAGTATATGATAGTCAAAAGGAGATTTTGTGATGCCTCGTAACGTTTGCGAAGAAAGTCAACTACCACAGACAGGACTAACTCCAAACCCTTGTTTATTTTTGATTAAATTTGCCGTGCATATGTAATGCAAGCGGTCAGATGGGGATATCTGTGCGTCACACATGTGTGACGTGGAGAGTGAACTTGTTAATGGTAATCAGGACCTGCCCAAATGGTCTCATCCCATGTTGACGGATCCCATACCTGGACAAATAGGTAATTGAAGTTGATTTTATTTTGAAACCGAAGGTCTTACTGTGGAGTAGTCTGCTTTCTTAACTTAGTCGAGTAGATTTTGGTGAATTCATATGTTGTGAAGATTTTAATCCAATTATTCAGTATCACGAGTTTCGTGCTTTTGCAGATGAAGAGTAGAGCTGCATGCTTTCTGGGGTTGCCACCCAGTCAGACAGCAGAAAATAAAATCTTTTTGTGAGGTATCGCAAGTCACATGCGTACTTATTAAGCAACCACGTCTCAAGACTTTGTTTTTGACTTGAGTGGCGAATTATTGTGCAAACTTCTTGGTGGATGGAGTAGGCGATTTTAAAATTACACAAAGTCAAGCAAATAAGGGCTCTCTCTAAGGTGATGGCAGAGAATACCAGCACCACCCTTACCCATGCGGGCTTTCCATTCGCCACCATTTTCTATTACTAGCTCATCAGTCTTTTTCCTCCTTCGGAGTGAGGTCCTCTCCAGAATTATACATCTTATCAAGTTCTGTGGCTATTTTGACACGTGATTTGGCGATATTAATCAATGTGCCCTTAAATGCATGGTGTCCTTAAAATGGCCTCTTGACCTCCAAATCCAAGGTCGCAAGGGGAGCGACTAGATTTTGTGGAGGTGTTTACACCTAACCCCAAACTTGTGCCACCATAAACGTACATAAAATCGCTATTGTTTGTAGAGCTCACGTTACCTTCAGCATTTTGTGCATTTCGAGAGACGGACTTCACTTCCTTTCTCCTCGTAAATTAGCCTTTTATGCCAGTCCACGACACCCAACCTTCTTACTCCCATTGGTCCACCTCAAGAATAGGTGATTCTACTGATTTTAGGCGTGTGAAACCCTAAGTTGAACCTACTCTCCACCTCCACTAAAAATCATGGTCCAATTTGCATTTACATTGAATGTTGTAGGTTGTTTTGTTTCCATACACAGTAGGCCAAACAAAATACTCCGAATTGGTCGTTTTTCATTGTTTAGAGCTTTCGAGTAATGTACTTCAAAGGAGCGTGACACCTGCAGATGGTTAAGCGTCAAAGCAATGTGATAACAAGAAGTGCTTGAACGTTACTTGGTACTTTTCCAGTCGTGTGTTTAAATTTGTCACAACCGGATTCATGACAGTTCACGGGTTCTGTTTAGCCTTAACAATGGATCGAGTAACCTTCAGTCACTTGGCGAAATTACTTTTATTTACGATGCCGCATTCAAGACGGCTGTTAAGTATGCAGGGACACCATCCACCGCCGATTTGCGGACGTGCGATTGGCTTTGAGGTTTCGACACTATTGCTTTGTCGTTGGGTAAAGGCGTATTCCATCTCCACACCACCCTGTGGTGTGTTTGAAGTTTTCTGTAGTTACAAGTCGATGTCCACTGAGTCGTTTTGTTTTCCCATTCTTTTATTAAAAACGTCATAGTTAAACTCTCTTTTTCAGACCTTTTGTGGTTACCACCTGAGACACGACATGTGCGCCGACCAGTCTGTTTATTCCACGTGTTGTACGCCCACCTTGGTGCCGCTTTGTACGAGTTTACTAAACCGCCTTTCTTTCATCCTTTAGACTGATTATGAATTGATGACAATTCGCATTTAGAACCAGGTGGAAAATTCCTTCTGCCCTATTAACTAAATATCCTACGGAGTAAGGAGGGACTCACCGCGTTAGTATGGCAATCATTTCACCTCGCATTACCCTCCCTAAAAGAGGGAGTCCGCGCTCACCGAAGTGCATTGTACTACCCTCGGCGGGCCTTCCACAGGTCATGCCGCCCGCTTTACTGCCATATCTTCTACATAATGGGATTGCAAACACCCACCAACACCTTGTCTTTGTGTTCATATTCCTCCGTGCCGTCCAGTTGATAATTGTCCACACGTTTGACCGCCTCAGCGTGATTGTCTTTCCAGATCTTTGTCTTCATGTTCCCTCCGCCTTCATTGACTACTTCACGATGAAGGAAAAACCCTTTTTAGTAGTCACTCTACCCCTCTAATTGAAATTTTCAGCGTTATTTATCACCCGTTCATCATATCTTCTCTTGAGAATCGGAGCTTGTCATTAGAGACTGTGGACTTGTTCTCTTTTTTCCGTAGACGTTGCTTTGGCTGTGCCGTTAAGAATGCTGCTTGCGTCGATGTCAACATTAAATTCGACTTACCGCACACCAAGGAGCACCAGTGGGATACCGAAGACTTCAAACTGGTCCCCCTTATCATTGCTACACTTGGATCGAGGCATCCAGTCAGTTATCGAAGTGCATGCGAAAATTCTGTCTGTTCGGTGGGAATTGTAGTGTCTCGCCTGATCAACACTATCATCACTCCCTCCGCAGTCTCCAAACCCAATGGCGATGGAGCGGGGCTCAACAGCAAGAGATTTTGTCACGTGAATTTCACGATTACTGCGATGTGACTGCCTGCGTGGAGGCCTAAAATGGTTCCAGTACGAAGCAAATCTGTTCCAAAGGCATAAGTATTCCGATCTTTTAGGCTGTCTGCCAAATATAATCGTCATCGTTCGCCGGAACTTTGTATACACGTTGCAAAAGGGTTCTCTAAGAGAGGATCACGCTTGATTGACACTATCGCACACTTGAAATCATCTCCATTGACGATGGTGCCTCCATGCTAAGCAGAACATTGCTTCCACAAGTGCGGCAGCTGTTGGTAGGACATCCCGGTCCGAAGGTGCAAGTTCATGAGGTGGCGAACTCGCTTAGCCTGGGGACATACTGAGATCCATGCCCAGGTAGACTAGACTGCCCTCGCCCTTCGCCTCACCGCATCTCATCTCAGGTTATTTCGCCTGTCCTCACCTTCTCACGTCCTCGTGCTTACTCATGCCCATGCAGTGCCAGCGCAACACACGAGACCCTCACAGCTGCGTTGGGGTCATGGTAGACATGTAGGGTGGGAGGAGGCAGGGACCGCAGAAGAGCGGTGCCAGGGTGTGGACTTAAACCACTGACCCAAGGGTTACTGCTCACATCTACAATCGTCCACTTTGTCAGCTGTGTTACAGTGGAACGGCACCACGTTCCGTGTTGTGGCATGCTTAATTTCTCCCAGCTGCGTGGCGCTGCGCTATTCCTGGAGTAGTTGTTGTTGCTGATGATGCTGATGATAGACGCGACCCATCTGTCTTCTTCCTGTTGTTCGTCCACTTGATGGTGGCGTTCATGGTTGCAACTTCCGGTGAAGGCATTGCTCAACTTCAACAAACAAGTCGGCATCATCGTTAATACAGATATGACGGCGAATGTGTATGTGTGTGGTGGTGTCAATCAATGTCACTGGTCCGTACTGAGCAAATGGACGTGCAGTTTAGTGAAGTGTTGGGCAAACAACCTTCTCCTTTACCTTCCATTGTTTTATGCCCTACTCTTCCGATCCTTTGGCATCCCCCTATTCACATGTCTTTTACCTGCCCATTTGCCCTCTTTGTCACATTCCAACCACTTTATGATCCCAATGGTTGCCATAACTATGCCTGTGAATGACAACTTTGGGTATAAATCATTTTTAAACCACAGTCTCTTTAGCTTTGCTCGTGAGTGTTTGGGCTGCACATGGAACCCCTCTCCCTCTCTAGTTGATAATCTAGGTTTAACCGGGTCGGCATGACATCACACAGAAAATGCACCATTTCGAGTCAAAAGGAAACACTTTAATCATTCACAAATACAAACATTCCCGACTTCAGGAAATTGGCTCATGTGGACGTGACTGATATGGTCCACACGTACCCTTTAACGCCAGGATGCGTGTTAGTATAGAAAGGAAATGGATTGTAAAATTCGCCTTTTCTTTCAATTTGTCCTTTTTTCTACGTCCTAGCTACAGAATAAAAGTGGAAGTTAACTCTAGGCGTTAGCTATCAAGGCACCAAGCAGAATAAGTAGAGGTAAAAGCATCAACAAGGTTGTCTTTGTTCCCGACATGTCTGAGTAGGCCGGGCATATGGCATGCGTGCGGGCATCTGCTGGCTGAGTGCTGGAAACATGAGGGTGGTCCCATTCTCGCCTACTTATTTATCCTTAACACTTTTCTGGAGATCAGCTTACTTACTGTCGCCAAGTAATAATGGCCAATTAGGGGGAAAGAAGCGAGGGCGCCAATTCTCAAACGTTTCCATTGCATTCGAGAAGAACTTGTGGAATGTTGGGCAGGCATCTGCGGCACATAGGCGACCATATTTGACCGCAGGCGTCTGTACGTAAATCAACGATTTTCTGGACGTGTTTTTTAGGCAAATAAGCTACTAGGAGGCGAAATTCACAGTGGAATTTGAGCAAATGAATGTCACTGGCGTGGAATGACAACAGATGAAAAGCTTTAAGGCCTATCTATCAGTCATTCACCTCCATGTTGTAGCTTGCTGGTGGACTTGTGATGAATAGTGGATTCAGTCTATCGAGATGCGCTAAGGGAACAAACATGGCATTGGTAATCTACAGGCATTCAACGCACTACCCATACCATATCCCCACTTCTAACGTAAGCACCACTTCGACTCCAGATGGAGATGCTTTGCTTGCGGAAAATCACAGCCGAAAGCTTCCACTGCAAACGAAATATCTGGTAGAGCCATGAATAATGGCTAAAAAACAGGCAAGACAAAGCTGAATGTCACCTGGATTCACTCGTACCTAACTTTTCCGACAACTGATTGGACAGGCTTGGGCTTCCGACCGGAATATCAATTGACCAAGACATCGGTACTGATGTCTTTATTGTCGAAATGTGTGAGTAAACACAGAAGTACAGAGTTGGCATATGAACCAGTCACAAGAGGGTATTGGTAACCGATTGGCCTTGACCTTATGTTTAGTGTTATAGTGCATCTAGACGTGATCTCAGCCAATCAGGGAGGAGCGAGGAAGGGGGCGAAAACTAGCTACAAAAGTGAAGTTTCCTGAATATCGAATGAAAATTTTTTTCTTTGGGTTACAGACATACATCGGAAAGAACTTCATTTGCTTTCCAACCCAAATTTTACTGCAAAATTGAACATTTGACGACTGCCTCTTGAAACCAAAGTCAGCATGATGAGTTAGGCCGTCAGTCAGTTTGTCATAGGTAGTATTTAAAAAAAGGAAATACGGTGACTTCTTTCCCTTTCCTTCTCAAGTCTATTTTATTCCCCTCTGCGAAAATAGCACGCCATTCTCACGGTAGAGCTTATAACACTTAAAAGTTTATTCACTTTCAAATCCCACACATGTCATCTACGCACTGTCATCTTGTCCATACTCACAGTCACTCTCCAGCGCCATGTCAGCATTGTCTTCTATGGACTCCATACACTCCTCACCCATTGTTAAACCTCGATCACTGTCCGAACCTCCTCTAGAATCCAGCTGTACTGGCGTCGGCATGTCGAGGGCCCGGAATATTGCATTTTGTACCTCTTTGTCCAGATATCGTGCCACGGCTTCATGGCCGCCTAGTTTTTCTTTCATCTCCTGCAGACAGGCGTAGGCCTGTAAAAAATGAAAGATACACGTATTGGAGAATTGAACGAGGTCATTTCAGAATAGTAAACTTTAGGAGTCTTCGTAGAAGTTGTAAATTCACAAGGGTCGTTCAAGTCCAGCCGGGACTTTTTACTTGATAGGTTTAAAAGAAGGTGCGGTTTCAGTGGTGCCAAATACAGTAGTAAGTGACAAATATGTTGCCTCATTTCTCCTCCTGTCTAAAGAAGTTTGGAAGAAGTTAATCAGAGATGTCGTAAGCCCATTCCACACACATCTACCTATTTGGAAGACTTCAAGCACTCCACGCTGACATGACGATTGGGCACAGTAAGAGCGCTGAATGGTGTGAACACCTCAAGGTCTGTTGAACACTTGCCAGCGATGGCTGTAGTCATTATGATTTCCAACTCATCAACACAGCGCACTGAACCACTCTTTGCCTGCCTCCTGACTGCCCCCCTCCCCGCGTAATCCACGCTTAATTGCACCATCGTGAAATTTTACTAGAGACAAACCACTTGAAGTGATAGCGTAGGATGTCTACCAAATGTGCACGGACCGACACCGTTCCCTACACTAGTACACACATCACAGAAACTCGGGTGGAAAATGCTGTAGCCTACTCGGGGTGATTACTTCATGTCTGGACTTCTGCAAGAGAACTACTCTTCTCTACGTCGAAAGTTCTAAACCCTTAGTTATGACAGGGAACTACGTGGAAATATAAGTACAGCTTCCCTCCTGTCTCTTTTATAAAACTGAGTCTCGGTATGACTCCGGTCCCCAAGCGGTTAATGATTCAACTAGGATTAACTTGAGGTAGAAGGTTGCGACAAGACGTACAGCATGGTATTGTTCATGTGCAACCAATCCTTTGACCATTACCGCGTAGACATGACCAGGACGAATAATTATGGCAGTTTTGGGTTCATCCACTATTGCTTGACACTGGCTTAACGCGTCCACTGGGTCATCTTCGAATAGCCTGAAAGAAAACAGGCAACTATTCACAGCATTCAATTATGCGCCCATGTTTCCACATCACCTCGATATTACTTTTATCAGAAAAGTCCCACTAGAGGCATCAATGCTGAACTTACAGTTGTGCATCCACAAACTTTTTGCACAGCATAATTTGCGATTTAATACTACAAAGACGCTCCTCCAACTTCTGTCCATTTACTTCATCGGAGGCGACAGCAGCATCCGCAACAGCTCTCGAGAGTGCCTTGTAGGCCTCGGTTAGAGCACCCATTGCCTTTTCGTAGCTCTGGTATTCGTCTACCTCCATCTGAACAAAAAAGTGAAGCAGTATCACCTTTGTACAAGTAAGAGTAAATTCATTTTGGCAAAAAAGGACTCGATGCTGTATATTTGAATGTCATGACCCAGTTACTAGTTTGTGGCTTCTCTCTACCCATTTTTCAACAAAGAGACCGCGTAGACCATAACCACGAATATTCATGAAGTAAAACGCAGATTAAAAGTTTAGGAGTGATATTTCTTTTGAGTCCTTATTTATCCATTCGAACAGGCAGAAAAGATAAAGCGACGCGCTCCACGCCGAGTTACTCGACATCGCTAGTAAATTGCCCATTTAAACAATTTGGGATTTCGCTACCATCACCAGATGCTCTGTGGACAATTTGAAGGAAACCTAGCTTTCAGAACCTTAAAAGCAGGAGGAAAGTGGACGAGATCAAAAGAAGGAATGTCACACTGATGGAATAACCAATATCCACGATCTATGGTGCATGCAACTAACCTCACCTTGGAAGTGTCTACAAGCGGTACCAAGCGCCTACCTCACGAGCCCTAAATGACCATCAACAAGCACACATAAACTCCTTTCAAGTGGACAAATTATGTTGATACGTAAAGATAAGGAAAGGGCTTATTTTCCGGTCATTGTGAGACCCTGACTCTGACTTCCAATAGTGCGCTTCCAGCCGACCTCTTTTAAGAGGTCAAGTAGTTATAGACAAGTGAAGTAAGTGCTTCCATTTAAGTCGTGTTGCTACGATAAACACAAGAATTACCTGCGCGCAAGCCTCATAGAACGAAGAGAGTGAATTGAAAGATTTTGCTCGCGTATAAAACTGCACAATGAGTTTGACCACACTGGTGTCATTGCGCCAGGTACCGAGAGTTTGAAGGTAATTCGCAGCCATGATGTAGATGTCGCGCTGTTTACTCACATTGGCGAAGAAGATGATCTTGTTGGTGTCACCGGAGCGTAGTAAAGCTTTCATAGCGCTGACACGGTCACCAGCTTGAGTGAGTTTCTTACAAGCAAGGTGGCAGAGACCTTGCGAGAGGCATGCATAGCCCAGACGGGTGAGCACATCACGTCGCTCCGTTTCCGACATGTCAATGTCCGGTGGTGGTGTCAATTGCTCTGCTAGGTCCTCACTCAGTGCCACATCATAGTCCGTGCACAGCTTCACTGCTTCCAGCCACTGTTCGATGGAGAAAAAAGGGAAGGAAAACTAGCGTGACTTCTGAGTTTAAAAAAGCAGAGAGAGGATTTTAACTGCTTTGTAGGTCGAACTGATTAAAGGTCAGTTTATTTCCATTCCACAGATGACAGACCAATTCTTAAGAGGCATTCTGTTTTTACAACTTTAAAGAGTAAAACCAGGCTTCACCTGCTTGCCCCTGGCAAGAACTTCAACAGCCTTGACAAACTGATCGTTCTGGAGGAAGAAATTGGAACACTTGCGTATCAGTTCTGGATCACAATCGCTGCCAAGGTCGTCGCAAGTGATGCTGACCAAGGCACCGTATTGTCGCTTCTCAAAGGCTAGATTAATGGCGGTGTTGAGGTGACCTGCTCTGTGGTAGAGTAGCACGGCTTTCTCCACAAAGTTCCCTCTCTGTTCCAAGTGACGAGCAGCGTCTAGCATGTCATCCGGACTGCCCAACTGAGCCAGACTATAAAGGTTCTCGTTTCTGTTGTGCTCCTACAAGGAAGGTGTGAAAGGCTTGAAGCGAATGGCATTAACTACACACGAGTCTACCGATGTATTGCATTCACTTATTCAAAGGCTACAATCAAGTGGCGTGGATTATGACATCTCGATTGATAGGATTGAAACCTTTTGACAATCCGTGGTTTTCACTGACTGTGGGATAGACTCAGCTGTAGGTGGTTGATAATACCCACTCTGGCATCAGAAGAAGCAGAAAACATGGGCAACGTCGTGATTTGGATCGACGATTTAAAATCCAGTTTGAACTAGAAAAATCTAACACAGTGGCACTATCTGCTTGATATATGCCAAACAATAGGTTTTCGGTCTCTCGTAGTTTGACAATACTGTGGGGATCTTTCACTAATCCTCTCACCCAATTACGACTTTGAGTAACTCACCTTGGCGAGTCGCACAGCACAAGAGAAGGCACGAGCTCGAGTATACAGCTGAATAGCTCGATCTACATCTCCTTTAGCTTCCATTTGTCTTGCTAAATGATAGCATGCAGCTGCGTCACCAGTCTCGTTGCACAACTCCAGAGCTGCTTCTTCTTTTCCCCCACAACAGTAGACACGAACAAGAGAGACGTAGTCCTTCACCCGACTGTAGTATAGTTCCGCTTCTTTCAGTCGCCCTTTCGCTTCCAGACTCTGCGCCCACCAATGATGCAGTTCTCTATGACATTCAATAAGGCCAAAGGAGTGGTACCTGGACGGATGTGAGTTTACGAACTCTTCTAGCTTCTCCGGAGAGTCCTTCAGCATACGTGGAACCTCCACGCAGTGTGTATTTGATTGTACAAAACTAGAAGATAATATTAAAAACGTGCTCTCATTGCTACATACTGGTGGATTGCATCTTCAATATTCCCCTGATTCTTTAACTCCAGCGCGTAGGCGTAGTGTGTATTTTTTAGACGAACCCGATTGTGTTTTTCAACAACACTCAGAGCTTCGTCCCAATGTCCCAAGGCACGATGCATCCTGGTCACTAAGTCCCATCTTCCGCATTCAATGAACAAACGCTCTGCCTCAGCCTTTGGGCGAAAAGTTGTGTGTTGGGCAAAAGCAGAAACCTACCGTCATGCCCAACTGCAGAGCCAATTCACCAGTTTGAGCAGTGAGACAGTTATCCCCATTTCGGAACTCTCGGAGCATCGATGCCCCAAATGCGTTACCTATTTTGCCTAGGCACAAGAATCCAACATCTAGTCGTCGAGTAATAACACACA